AATATGTATTTTATATATTATATATAAACACAAAAAAATACTAATAGAACATCTTGGTGAATGCATCTTGGAACAAGGCCAGTTTGGTTGCTGGGTGACTTGGGTGGTTCTGTGCCCATGAAGCAAAAGCATGCAGTGATGCAGCTCAGATCCCAGTCTGCTGAGGTACATACATCACAAAAGCTGCTACCTCTGCCTCTGAGGACCAGACCAAGCCTATTCTCATACCAATTCTTTAAAAAGCTTCAATGAGCCTTGTAAAAGCAAGCCCTACTTTCAATGTGCCCAGTGTCTTCTCACACATGTTAATCTATTCCCTCATGACAACTCTAGGCTTCCCTTCCAGCCCTGCACAATGATCTCTTCATCTGCTACAATCAGCAGAGCAGGGACAGGTGATGCCACGGGCTGATGGGCAGAGAGGATTGGGCCAAAGGAGTGAGTGACATACACCAGATGCTGGCCCGGCCCCACTGCAGCTCCTTGACATGCATCAGTGAGGGGAAATCACTGCATGCACTCCAGCTGCTGCAGAACCCGTTGCTGGAGCAGACGCATTATACAAACCGTTAGTCGGTAGTAGCTGTGCATGTAATGAAAAAACAGGCAGCAGTCAGTTCAGAGAGCAATGGAGAGGGGGGGAGGAGTGGAAAGCAAAGAGGGAAAAAGCACTCCTTCAAAGAAAGATCAAAATTAATGACAAAATGTTTCGAGATTGAAAATTAAATGCAAAATAAAACTGAGTTCCTCAAGACAATAAATAATAGAAGATCAATGATACGTGTCCTTACCATGCTGATTTTAATCTGTAAGCTTCATTAATTCAATGCCCATTAATGCAACCAAACCAGCAATTTCTGAGCCTGAAATCTTCACTCACATGGACCCAGGGACTGCACTTCAGAAACACCCCTGAGAAAACCATGGTAGAAGTTGCCATGTCCTAAGAAGAAACAAAAAGCTTTTAGGAAGACTGAGCACAGGGACTACAAGGATAAGAAACAAAAATGGAGGTGTTGAACTTCATTCATTTCTGCCAGATTTCACCACTGAAAACCCACCAATGATATTTGTAACTTAAAGTTAGGTATGCACTGAACCCTTCAGACATTTGAGAATAAAATAAGAGCATAGAAGAGGGAAGCCTTTGAAACCAAAGTTAGTGTCTCAGAGGAGACATTACACACAAAAATGAAGCACGGAGAAAATGGACAAAAATGCATGAAACTGGAGCAGCAGAAAATCTTTATTATTATAAAGGAGTATTTGTGTTAGATAGTTTGTGAACTGTTCAAGATGCTTATGGACAATTTGAAAATGGATACAAATTCTCACAAATAAATTTTGTATGTAACGTACTGGCAAGAAGGCTGGTGAGTAAGATGGGAAAAGGGACATATGGAAAGACAAGCGGATAACTGGTAAGCCAGAGGGCACTTTCAAGCAAGTGGCATGTGAACGGAGCCAGTAGCAGTGCAGCACATCTAGGAACACAGCAGGTGGGCAGTGGAAAGGGTCCTGGAAAGAATGACACTATGGGCAGCACAAGCAGGTGTCATATGATTGCATGGCATCGCCAAAGCATTGGGTTGGTTGCATGAGTATCAGTCAGCTATATGACAGCTCAAAAGAAACATCAGAAATAGCCCCCTACCATCTGTCCTCATCACAGTGCAGTCCATAGTTTAGGACTTCTAAACGAAAATACGTGGAGCTCCCAGTGGGAAAGCAGGGAAGTGTGCACTCCTTGTCTTTAAAATTCTGTTGTGGCAACAAACAAACAAACAAACAAACAAATAGATGCAATCCTCAAGCATAAACAGAAGTTGCTAAAAAGATATTTTACTTCATACACAACTCTGGCAAGGAAGGTATTAAAAGTAGTAATGAGTTCTTGTTTCAAAATTTTAAAATCATTGTTGAAAATTTGTACAGAGTACAAGAAAAAAGGTATAAAAAGTCTGCAGAAAATGAAGGAGCTGTATCTGTGTCTACTCTTAGGAAAAAAAAAAAGGTAAATATGTAGAATAAAAAAGGTTTCACAGAATATCACATCTGAAAGGACACTTTAGCTACGTGCAATAGGGCATTACATGAAGCAACAGCTGGAAGCTGGAGCCAGATCTACTCCAAGTGGAAGTGGGAAGCATTGAAGGCTGTTTAGCACAGCGATAAACTGCTAAGGCAGGGACAGAATTCCCCATGCAGCCTGCAGTCTCTCCCAGTTGGCAGAGCGTGCCTTTCTGGAGTCAACATAAGTTTCCCCAAGCTTCTGAAAAACTGTATTATCAACAGCATAAGAAATCCACTTGGGCCGATTCAAAACCAAAAGGATCTCTACTGGTCAATAAATGTTTAATTCCTGGATTGTATGCTGGACCAGACCGCTGTGCACAGGATGTGGTGCTGGTGCTGGATGCAGCATTCACAGGGATGGTGGGCAGCCATGCTGTCAGTCCTGTCACATTTCCCTTGCCTTTTTTGTCCCTGACTTTCTGAATGTTAATGCTTTGTTTGATGGGGTGTTTGCTTGTCCAGAGAACTGTTCACAGTAATGCCCCGTTCTTTTGTGAAAGATTACAGCTTATTAGAAGATAACTTTGAATTGTGTTATAGGAATGAGCCCAAGGCATGTTGCAAGGTTCTGTGACTCACTGTTTGTCAGAGACCACCATTCTTCAGCCATAGCAAGAAGCTACAAAACAAGATTTCCTTTTCACATTACTGCTGTGAAACATTACCTGTCCATGAACACAGGCCGAGGCCCATGTCAGTACTTTCACGGTACATAGCCAGCTCTAACCCGTGTCCTTTCTAAAAATGTTCTTTCCCTCCTTGTTATCATTTTTTTTTTTCTCTCTAGGATAACTCAGATGGTTTTATTTCAAGCCTTTGTTGTTCTTTATGTGAGTCAACTCACCTAAAGTCCTTTAGTTAGGACCAAGAAAAACCATTTTTATATAATTATGCTTAAGCAGTGAGATCATTATTGAATATAATGCTGATCCAAGAATTCCAGGATAATTTCCTATATGGAGAGTGATTTCAGAGAGTGCTAAAGCAATGCCGACACTTTTTCACAAGTGCTCACACTGCTCTGGCTTGAAGTACAACAGTTTGCTCGTGTCTTACATTAGGCAGTTTTACAGTCAAATAGCTGTTACAAAAGAAGCCGTGTACACAACAGGCCTCGTCAGCACCACTTCCAGTAACATCTACCTTGGAGTGAAGCAAACCCACTCAATTCAGCCCTCAGGGAATGGTTGTCCAGCAGACGCAGCCTGGACTCTGCCACACTGTTGCACACAGTTGCGTTTTGTTGCTGCGCTTTGCTTTTTTCTCCTTGCGCAAAGCACATGCTCAGCCGAGGCGAGAGTCAGGTGTTACCTTTGCTATTGCACAAAGTCACTGGAGAAGAGCTTGTGCAGCCAGCAGGGAAATGCGCTGTGCTTTCAGAGCACGTGTTCCAAGCGTACTCACTTGTAAATGTGTCACCCAGCAGGCTGACACCTTTGAGACAGGCCCCAACCTTCTGGGGATGGGGACGCTCCCTGGTGGGGACACCAGGCTGGGAGAGGGGCCCTGTGGTCCCAGTGAGGTCCCTCAACCTCCTGCTGCAGGAAGCTGGTGCATTTCTCCACTGAGCGCAGCCTTTTGGATGTCAGCCATGGGGTGATTCCTTCCCACTACTGTGGCTATTTGCTTCCTGAACAGGAGAAGTGAAGCCATGAAGTATTAGATACATTTATTTTTTGAGGCCTGGTATCTACAGTCCTTCTCCTTGTTCCCATCCCAGCCATGAGCATACAATTCGTTTGGGTTGGCAGCACGGGAAGCAGTGCTGGGACTGAGCTGTGCAACCAGGGCTCTGAGTTGCATTGCAGTACAGGAAACAAATCTACTGAATTAGAAGAGGGAGGAAAAAATATTTGAATTATGAATTTTCTGCACCTGGTGCAGAAAACAACAACAACAAAAAGTTATGCTCATTAGGCACTGAAATACGATTTTTTTTTTTGGCAAAGGATAAGCATTCACAACAGTTCCTAGAATCTAGATTATAAAAATTGTATTTTTGATAAACAAAGCAGAGACAAATACAAATCTTTTTAATTATAAGGATTTTCTTCTATAATATAATGAAAGAATTCCAGGCCTTCAAAATTCAAAGTGTTCACTCTTTTCAGTTTTCCCTTTGAAAACCAAAAAATATTCTTTCATTTTTCCCCCATAGTTTTGTCTTCATTTCAAAAGCCCCAAAACTAAGCTCAGTCGGGCCCTTTCCTCAGTCGCTGTGAGTCGTGCTGTGTATGCTTCAGGGGTTGGCATCTACATGAGAGCCTCCATCCTCGTATTACACACCGAGTTCTCTTACACACCACCGTCGAAGCTGCTTTGGGATGCGTTCACCTGTCCGTGTGCATGCACTCACCGGGAAGCCGTGAAATAAGCCGCTTTACCTCCCCGACAGGTTGTTTTTACTACAGGAACTGTGCACAAGCATCCTCATTCATTCCCGGCATTTCCCATCCTACGTTTCTAGGGAGGTTCCTCCCGTTGAGATAACTTTTCTCCAGCTTTGGCTGATCCCGGAGCTCTGGTGCCAGTGCTCCCAGGAGCACGCTGGGTTTGGGAGACATTACCTTCCCTGCAGGACGGTCCCCGCTTCGTCCGGGAAAACACGCCCCGGCACGGCGGGTGGAAGGGAAAGGGCAGGAGAGAGCGACGGCTGCAGGGGGCTCTTCCCTCCCTGCCCTGGTGTGAGTGCCCCCGTCCCGCGGAGAAGCAGCGCGGCTGCGGGCGCCGGGAGGGGAGCCGAGCTGCGTGGGGGGGAGGCAGAGCCGGGGGACTTCAGCGCGGCGCGGTCTCACCCCTCAATCACTCCTCCCACAGTGAGCTGTGCCTCTTAACCCCCGGGATCCTCCCTCCCGCCGAGCACTGCTCCGCTCTGCAGAACGCGAGTTGATGACCGAAAAACGAATTAGCGGCCGCGGACAGCCATGAGCTGTCTGGATGTTATGTACCAAGTGTATGGTCCTCCCCAGCCGTACTTCGCCGCAGCCTACAGCCCCTACCCGCAGGTACGTGGGGTGGGAGGGGTGGCGACGGGAGGGTGGCCCCGAGCCTCACCAAAAGGAAAAAGGCAAAAGGAGAAGGGGAGGGGGTGGGGGAGAAGAGCCGGAGTTTGCGATGGTGAGCGAAGCGGGGCTGCATCCCACCCTGGTGCGGGGCTCGGCACGGTACGTACTGCCGGGACTGCGTGAGAGAACGGGACTTCAGATCCGATATGTCATTTAAGGGATTTTTTTTCCCCCTTTTTTTTTCTTTTTTTTTTTTTTTTCTTCCTTTCCTGGACCGGGCTCCATCCGAGCTCGACGACTGCGGGCAACGATGCCCCCGGGTTTGCAAAGGGCTACCGGGAAGGGCGAGGGAGGGCTGCCCGGGGTGCTTCCCAACCCCCGCCGCGGGAGAAGCAGTGCACCACTCTTCGCGTGGTTACCGGGGATGCTCCCACTCCAGCCCCGCTCGGCGGCGGGACCCCGCGGGCTGCCCTGGAGACACCCGTAAGGGGATGCCTGTGCGTGTGCAGCCCGGGCTGTATGCTGAGCCCCGCGTTCCTGTACCCTCGGCAGCACCTGCAGCACCTCTCAGCTTCCCGTTTCTTTGGAGGTGTTTTTCTTCCTTCCTTCCTCTTTTTTTTTTTTTTTTTTTAAATTAATTAATTAATTTTTTTTTTCTCCCCTTATCACTTCGGAATAGGAAAACGGCTTTCCCCAGCAAACGAAAAATAGGAGCTGTAGAGGCGGAAGCGCCCCGGGCCGCGGACAGGCGGCAGCCCCGGACGTGCGGGGCTGGGGGCGGGCAGTCACGCTCCGCTCCTCTCCCTCTCCGCACAGCCGCGGCGTGGCGGCTCGCGGGACACCTCCAGCCCTGGCATCGAGGCCGGCATACCTGTTACAAATAGCAGATGATGTCTTCCCCCACCTTGCCCCCCCACTCGCCCGTCCGCACGCGGGTGACATTATTTAGAGGGCTAATTATTAGCTCAATGGCTGAGCCGGCAGCCAAGTGGAAAGGCGGCAGCCACGGAGCGACGTTATTAGATATCCCGCGCGGTTCGGTCCAGGGCTCCCGGCCGCCCGACCCTCGTTCTTCCTCCTGCCCGCTCCGGCCCGCCGTCCCCGGCTCATCTTAAGGAACTCCCGGCGGCTGCTGGCAGAGAGACTTCGGGAAACATCTGAGTGCCTGCCGCTCTTTATTTCTCCCTGCAGGATCCAGTAAAAATTGTGTAATCCTGAAGGAAATACCTGAGGCTTCCCGCTAGACAGAGAAATGCTTTCTGCCCCGAGACGCGTTTGAAGCGGACAGGCTTTGATTTTTTTTTCCCTTCCTCCCGTTTTCCGCTTTGTTTTGTAGGTCACTCTTCTGCCTTTCCCCCGGTGCCGGGATCCGGCCCGCAAAGCGCCTTCTGAGTGCTGAACTTCGTGCCGGGAGCTGAGTCCCTCTCGTCACCCCGCTCCCGGCAGTGCCCGTCCCTTCCGCCACTTCCAGGCTCGGGTGCCCCGGGGGTGCGGCAGGACCACAGCTCCTGCATGGAACTCCGAGCGGGCCCGGGCGCTGCATCCCGCCTGGCACGGGGACGGAGGGCAGGGACGGGGGTCAGCACACCTCGTTGCTCCGTTTCCCGTCCTCCCTCTACTCTCTCTCCCTCCAGAAACTCGCCTTGTACTCCAAAATGCAAGAAGCCCCGGAGAGCGGCAGCAGCGCCGGCGCGAGCAGCTCCTTCTCCAGCCACGCCGCAGCCAGCATCAAGGAGGAGGAGTGCAGCCCCGAGAAGGAGAGGCCCCCCGAGGCTGAGTACATCAGCTCCCGGTGCGTCCTCTTCACCTACTTCCAAGGGGACATCAGCGCCGTGGTGGACGAGCACTTCAGCCGGGCGCTCAGCCAGCCCAGCAGCTTCTCTCTCGGCAGCGCCAAGGCGACTCGGAACGCCGGCTCCTGGCGGGGTGAGCACCGAGGAGGGGTGCGAGTGCTGGGGTTCCACGAATGTGGGGAGTGTGGAGGTGCAGGGCTAGGAGCCACGGCAGGAAACCCCCGTGTCTCTTGGCTTTGAGTTTGGGACTGTGATGAGCAAAGGTGGGAGCAGTAAGAGAAGTGGATGCAGGCGTGAATCTTTTGTACCATTTTACACCTTGTAGTCTCATGGGGTGCCTAGGGTGGCAGGGAACAGCTGACCTCAGGCATTGCTGCAGAGCAGCTCCTGGGACCATCCCTCACCTGTCAGTGCCTAACTGAGAGCTGATTGCTCACTCTCTCCTTGAATTCCCATCAGTTTTCTAAGAATGAAATACTGGTTAAAGTATTTCGTAAGTGGAAGATGCTCAGCACTGAAAGCTGAAAGATTTCTTAGGTCCTCAGGAACTGCTTCCCTTTCTCCTGAGTAATAACAGAAGGTGCAGAGCTGACGTATCTCCCTGATAAATGTTTGTATCTGCAACACTGTCTGTTCACAATCAATAATGCATAGTATCTTCTGCACTATTAGTTATCTCTATTCCACTTCACACTGGGCAAGAAAAGCACAAGGTCCTTACCCTCTGCACTGTCAATCCTCAAGAGCTGCAGAATGCTTCCCAAGCATGCTAACAAGAGCCCCAAGAAGCAAGAACAAGTCCAATGCAATAGACAGGGAAATTAGCCCCACATAGATTTAGCATATTTAAGCTGATTGCACAGCTCACGCTGTTCATGACTACTTTGAAACTACAATGAGGAAGTAGATACTTTCCTGGCAGTGTTTGGCATCCTCTAAGGTGTTGAGCAGCGTAAATGCTTCAAGAGGGAGATTAGTACAAAAAAAAAAAAAAAAAAAAAAAAAAAAGAAAGAAAGAAAGAAAGAGAGAAATCCAACCTTGACAATTGCTGTGCTTCGTAATTGTTCTGACTCAGTTTCCAGATTGAGAGAAAAAGGTGTTTCTCTCACCTTAGATAACAATCTTTTCCCTAAAGAAGTACTAAAAGAAGCCTAGCCTGGAGCAAATTGCTCCAGCCCCGGGCTAATTGTGCTGGATGATTGGGTTGGGGAGGGCTGCTGGGAAGCAGTTTCGTGTGTTTTTGTGTGTTTGGTGGTTGTTTGGAAGATAACCACAGCATGAGAGTGAAGAGAAGCCCTAGTGAGTCGTGATGCCAGGACTGAGTGCTCATCCGCCTTTCCTTTCTCTCTGCATCTAGATGGCTCCTTCCCGATGAGCCAGCGCAGCTTCCCCCCATCCTTCTGGAACAGCACCTACCAGCCCTCCTCAGTCCCTGTCACCCTTAGCAGCCCCCTGGCTGCCCACAGCGAGCTGCCCTTCACCACCGCGGACCCCTATGCCCCAGCCTCCCTGCACGGCCACCTGCACCAGGGTGGCCCTGAGGCCTGGCATCACGCCCACCACCACCACCACCACCATCCCTACCTCGGGACGCAGAGCACAGCCTACCCCCGCCCTGCAGCCATGCACGAGGTCTACGGCCCTCATTTTGACCCTCGCTATGGCTCCCTGCTGGTGCCCACCGCCTCCGTCCGCCCCCACCGCCTCACTCCCGCCGCCGTGCCCACACCGGTCAGCCCACCCTGTGAGCTGGGCAAGGGCGAGGCGGGCCCTGCTGCTGCCTGGACGACACCGGGACCCTTCCCCAATGCGGCAGGAGACGTGGCACAGAGCCTCGGCCTCAACGTGGACGCAGGTGAAGAGAGGTCCCTGGCCCCTTGGGATCCCCCCAGCTCAGGGCTACCCCTGCCCTGAGGTGATGGAGGGGAGGGCACTGTAGAGGGCAGCTAGAGGAAACATATGGGTGTGCGAGCTCCCAACCCATCCTGCATGTCCTTCTTTGCATTCCTTGGCCAGGCAAGCAAGAGCAATGTGTCTCCCACTCAACATTTCTGGATCCCAAGACACGCTCTGAGGTAGTGCTTGCTTTGGGCCTTTCTCTGTGCTGGAAGCCTGATGCAGCCCCGAGGGCTATGGCCAAAGGGCAGTCCCACAGCTCTGTGAATTTCTGCAGCTTTCTGAGCAGTTTCCTCTGTTTACTTTTTTTTTCTCCCAGTTTTCAAAAAATGCTATTGTATCTGCTGAGTATGTAAGGGCAACTGCTATCCCTGTGACCAGGAAAGCTGGTGCTGGTGGCCTGCCCCTGGCCAGGTGCTGGCATGTAGGGCTGCGTGCCCAGTGGTGCTGCTGAGGGGACAGAGTCATGGCCAGCAGTGCCAGCTCATCCGGCTGTGTCTGTGGAGGCAAGAAAAGCCCGCTCGGCTGCTTGGGTTCCTCGTGATGAAGCATGGTGACAGCAGTCACTGGTGGCTCCGTGCAGCCTCACTTCAATTTAGAAAGAGACATGTGCCTGTCCTCACTGCAGCCAGGGCTCTTCTTGCTTCATTGCTTTCTTCTAGCCCTGGGGAGCCCAGGCTTCAGCTGAGCCTCTGATCTCATGTGGCAGAAATGGAGTTTGTCTTTCTCTTTCCTTAAATGCTTGTATCTATTTTTTCTTCTTCCCTTTTTTCTTCTTTCTCTCCATTCTCAGGTTTGCAGCCTCAGGACAAAAGCAAGGATCTGTACTGGTTTTAGAGCTGTCCTTCACTCTTCCTCCCCTGGCTCTCCCCTGTAGATCTCTGCCTCTAGGCATGGTGGCATTCGGAGCTGAAGTCGGGTCAGTTTGTAACAGCTTCTGGTCTTGGTTTGCAGCTCGGCGTTACTCCTTCTGTGGTGGATCCCTTCTGAGCTGACGAGCTGACTCAGAGCCTCCCAGACCCCCTTGCCCTTTTCCAAGCCTACCATGGCCCTGCAGCTTGGGGACAGACAACGGGACTTAAAACAACTTGGCTTTGCAAGGATGAACCTTTAGACTTATTTTGGAGAGGAAAACCCTTCTGTTGAAAAAGGAGAGCCAAAGACCATGAACTATTTAAACAAACTCCACAGCCAGAACTGCAGTTGGACTATTTTAAGAGTCAAATGACATCACAAACAGTGATGAAAAATCACTGGCCTTCTTACAAGGGACAGAGGAAATCATGATTATTTCAGTGGTGTGAATATTTTTTTATGACAGTGAAAATCATTTCTTGATTTCAACTTGGGAAAAACTATTCAGCAGTTTTGAACTGGATTCTTACTTTACATTGCAGAAAAGTAAAAGGAGAAGAAACTGGAACTCACTAACATTTTTGGACTACTGAGGAGCTAGTCAGATTTTTCAGCATTGTGGTTATGAGTGGCAAGCGTCTAGCTTGGGCCACCTGCCTTGGGCTTACAGAAGTGCAGCTGTTCCACGGACAACTGTTCAAACTCCAGAAATATGAAAACCAAGGTGGCACTTGTCAGAATTTGACATAACATTTGCATTGAATATGTAATGGTTGTTTGTTTTCTTTTTTTTTTTTTTTTTTTTTTTACAAGGAGCATTTTATGGTGAAAACAAAACCCTCTTAAAGAAGGGGGAGAAAGGAAACCCAGGAAAAATTGCTCACCCTCAACTTGATAGCCTTTAAGGGGAACACCACAAAGGAAAATGTGGGACAATAGGTCTGGGTTGCCTCTAACGCTTCCCTTTGTCTACTTGTTGCTGTCATTTTGTCACTTTAATAATTGTCTTGTTTTGGTTTGAAAGGGGGAATAAGACATCTACTTGACGGTAGGAAAGCTGCATTAAAGGTATTCCTTCTTTTACCCTGCGTGTTTTTATAGGGAATTAAAATTGAAAAAGAGAAATGGGGCAGATTAGAAACTTCAGGATGGAAAAGGAGAAAATAAATACCTGTAGTGTGGATGGAGTGAGTTATTTTACTAGTTTGCATTAAAGCTAACTAGGAATCCTAGCAGTTGAAAATATATTCTTAATGAGTAGAAAATATGGTGATATATACAAAAGACAAGAATATGCAGTGTTGTGGCAATGCTGCCTCTTAGCATAGGGTGTCTCTGTAGGATAGGCTGCAGAAAGGGTAGACCCCATAGTAAGAGGCATTTCTTCATAAAGTTGTTAGAAGAGGGGACTATATTTTGCACTGTGCTATTCTGCACTGGTACATTAAAATGTTATTATAGAGGGTCAAATGACCAATTAAACAGAAACAGCAAGTTTGCCCTATGCTTGCAAGCTGACGCTTTTACAGGCAAAGCATCAGATCCCGTAACTACAGCGTTTCATTTTGTTCTGTCTTTTCTTAATGAAACATCTTTAATGGCAGACAAAGTTCAGTGCACGTGGGAGTCCTGACATCATCCCTCTGACACCAGGAGAAGCAGTAGGAAACAGACTTTTGTGCCGTGATAGGGGATTTTACATTCTGAGACTTTGGCAAAATGTTTCCAAATGTGTTGGAAATGGAGAACTTGTTGCTCCAAGTTCCATCTCCACTAGAAGTACATTTAAGGGGAAGAACAGGAGCATTAACTGCAAGACAACAATAAAGCAGTGAGAATAAATATTGTGAGAAGCTGGCAAGGAGCTGCATTGAAATAAAAAGAGGGCAGAACATCCCCGGTCAGAGCTGGGTAAAGGGCAGGAGGCAGCTTGTGGTGGTGCTTCAGCCGGACAAACCCACAAGCATTTCATCACAGCCCCCGGCTAGCTGGCAGGCTGGAAAGGGCAAGCAAACAGCTCCAGATCTTGTAGTGCTGGTTAAACCACAAATGTTCAAAGTCTTCTATCCTGAAGGAAGACAGCAGCACTTAGCAGGAGAAAAATAACTAAAAATGGCTTTTAACTTTATTGCTGCAGAGGCTTGAAGATGGCAAGGTCGTTCTGTGAACAGTCACCTGCATTTTCTTTAAGCTCTTTTTAAAGTTTAAGGTTTATTTTCCTTTCCTTTCCTTTCCTTTCCTTTCCTTTCCTTTCCTTTCCTTTCCTTTCCTTTCCTTTCCTTTCCTTTCCTTTCCTTTCCTTTCCTTTCCTTTC